ATGTATCAATGTTAGAACAAATTTGACAAGAAAATTAATCTTACAGCAATTTTAGTTTTGTTTCCATTAAAAATATTATGTTCAATTTCATTTTGTTTTTAAAATTATTGATGTTATTACGAACTAATTTCTGTTTTCAGTTTTTGAAACGTTATACATTTCCCACATTTTCCACAAGATGAGTTGTGAAAATAAGAAATATGCAGTAGTTAAATTTTTATCAGATTCTACATATTCTGAAATTCCAACAGCATGGCTTTTTAAAGATAAGGAGGATATTCAGCAATGTTGGTGGCCACCTCGAACGGCAAACAGTGCAACATTAATAATAAACTGTGAAAGTCCCGATTCTACATGGAATAGTTATGAAGTGGATATCGTAAAATATTGTAGTAAGTATTTGCATTAATATATAATCGTCAAGTTTAGAAAGAATGCAGCAGATTCTAATTATAGCACAACCGACGAAGAACGACTGGGCCGAGGAAAGAGGCAACGTATTTTGTATAGTCGTTTCAGCGATGAAGAAGAATATGATCATCAATCTCAACCTCGAAAATATACGAAAAGTAAAGTACCGTTGACACATATTTTACTATAATTGCGTCCGTTTTGGACACTTTCGTACTGAAAGCATTATTCTATCTTTATCAGCATATAATGAGCAATAAAGATAGATTGATGCTATCAACATGAAAATGTGCAAAGCGAATGCATATTTCCTTTATATTATAGCATAATTTTCATATAACTATTTTGCATTGTTATTGTTCACGAATCCTTGCAATGTAATATTGGAATACAAATATTGGATCCTATTTATAGAAAAACAAATTAAAACTGCTGTTCAGGCAACCACCAACACTATTCAGCAACTACCATCATGTCCTCCAAACTTGGATTTTATTAACAAAGAACAACAAAACAAGATCTTAAAAATTAATAATGACAACAGACACAACAAAATTATTACTTCACAAAATGGTATTTCTTTATGATAAAAATATGTAAATGATTACAGTAATATTACACATGGTAATTTATACATTTCCAGAAGAAGAAAATGAATTATTGATAACAACAGATATGGGAGACAAGGAGAATGAATATTCCAATCTGTACAATGTACCCATAATATTACAAGGTATATAAATTACAATATTAAAATCACCATTAATTGTAAAGCATTAATTGTAAAACTACAAACTTTAATTTTATAGGGAACGCTCCACCGATTCAAAACTTAGAAGATATCTCTAATATAAAAGGTAAATTATTTTTGTATATTATTTGTATTCAATTCACAAGTTATCATTTTGTGTATATAATTTTTTTGATCATATTGCAGATAGTATACAACAAATGTTGCGTATGCAAGCAGTAGCAAATATTACATTAAAAGATTTGCAGCAACGATTATTAAAAATAGAAAGGGCCATTAAACACCGCGCGTTAAGTCCTGAAAAAATTAATGATGATGTCATAGCGCCATTCTTACCATTAACAACAATTGAACTTATAAAAGAGTTTGATGCACTACTGAAAATATCAGCTGAAGCTGTGAGACAATTTGTAAGTACAAAAATTTTAGCAAGATTAGCACATTGATAACGATATAGAAATTTTTTATTACTATGATCACTTTAAATACATAATTTAAATACATGTCACATTTATTTACTTATTTTTTCTTCTTTTTTCATAGAAAGAGTTTTTATCAAAAACGGGTGGAAATAACGCCAGAGATAATATCCATCGTATCCTGAGGAAAACTTTAACAAATGAGTGTTCTATGAAATGTTCTTGGAAAGGACTACGAAATAATTTCAGAGTCTCAAACTTACATTTTATAAAAATGATTAAAAGTATGTTATAGAGATGTGTTAACACTACAAATCATATTTTATTATAACAATTTTATTAATTATATTTTCTCTTTTTTCAGGACAGGTAACGTCGCATTATACCACATGCACGGAAACTGAATTCGAAAATATAGTTGCAGAGTGGTTACGCTTTGCAACACAGAGAAATAAGAGAGAGAGAGCGAAAGAAAATATTGACGGAAACAATAGTGAAGAAAACATT